CGGCCTTTGAAATGGGGACTGGCGGTATAACCATACAGACCGCAGACCTTGCTAATGTAGGGATTTTAGTACGCACCGACGCAAATTCTCATTGTCCTTTGAAAATGTTTACGTCCGTCAGAAAGCACCACTTCACAGTCCGTGAAATGATTGAATGGATGTTTTGAGTAAAACCTCCGCTTAATACCAAAAGTTAACGAAAACAATCTCAACAACTTATCGCCAGTTCGGAATCTCACAGAAATGTTTCCGGACAGTGGTCAAAGTATGTAAAATTCATTATTTGATAGAAAAAGGCATGGTTTTAAAAACGCTGCTGGGAATAAAATCTAACTTTCGATTTAACTGCCCCTACATTACTTTTACATTACCGCCACTAAATATATATATATATAAAATTCTAACATGAAGGACTCGATGCACAGGAGACTACGTCCCTGAGCACACAAAAAAATAACATGGTGAATTTTTTTTTTTGCTCCCCTGGACATTTATTGCCTTAAATATTTAATATATTCACTGTCATTATTAATCTTCATTTTTAGTTTACCCCATGAGCTTAATCTATTTATTGGAAATTCAACATCACTCCACGAGCTTACCTGGGTTATAGCCGTTAATTGTACTCTCTAACGTTATGCCCAAGATCAATTTAGTGGGATAAATTAATACAATCTAAAGTGAGACAAAATAAATCATTCACTGGTTCTAAGCGAGTTTTAAATACTAATCGTAACTTTAATTGTCATTTTCACGGTAAGTGCAATAGAAATTGCAGCGAATAAATTACGTATGCAATTTAAGTTCTAAATTTTGAAATAATGAAACCATCTACCCAGTTCCAAAAAATACCTTCCATAAAAGTCAATATCAATGAGCTTCAGTAAAAGTTTGGTTGATGTGACATTCAGGGAACAAGAAAAAAACCTACATTTTACAATATAATTATTTTATATGCAAATTGTGGGGTATCAAGTTGACATTCATGACTGTTTCACAAATTTTGGTAAACTAGGCTTTTACTACATAGGTTGCCTTTATTAATGCTTTATTATTTCCACAGTGATTTGGAATTCTCTTTATGAAACAAAAAGTGCTGCCCGACTTTAAATTTCCGCCACTATACAAATATGGGATTATAAGTTTCATACTGTATTTGTGCTTATATCTGAATTACAAATCTCCTTTTACCTAATAATAGATATTGCAGACAGAAGCTTCTGTTACTCTGTGAAACACGTTATATCTTCGCCTGGCTCAGTAACCGTTCACTATGCTATAACTTGTATTTTATAATTTGCATTTAACATTTGACATTAATCATTAACAAGTGCTCAGAACGGTCCTGTTTTTTATTTACAGATGTTTTTAGACATTCATTTCAAGAAATGTGACAAATCAACATTTTAATTTTCTTAAAGCCTACTTCCTGATTTACGAATAATTTCTTTTTTGCAGTACATATCTCTAAATGATTTTCGCTGAAAAACACGGTCGCTTATTTTTTGTACATAGTATACTTTTATGGTAGAATCCGTAGGGAAAGATTTTAATTTCTCTGTTGCAAAATGTTTACAATTATTGTACATTGAGGTAACCGGTCAAACTAATGATAACTAATTTAATATTCAGAACACACTAAAAGAAACCGCACAGTTTATTAAATTGTATACTTATAAACTAATTTCAATATGTTAACAGATTACAACTTTTTGCGATCACCTACGTTTTTGGAAGAACATTGAATCCGATTCCTCCGTCACCCTAACAAACACTCCGTGCATAATTCCTTAAAAATAAATTTGTCAATACAGGACAGTGTGTAAGTAACGGGTTCTTCACCGTGGAAGTATAATATACAGGGTTATTCAGCTAAGATAACCCACTTGAGTCTTTTAATGCGGCAATCCAAACTACTGACTACAGTTGTTGCTGGATTTTTTAAATGTTTTTTAAATAATTTGAACCCAGATTGGCCTTTAAATAAATTTCAAAGATATTTTTAATCGTCAGAAATTTGTCAAAATATTAATTATTAAATTATGAAAGAAAATTATAATGAAACCAAACTGAATTAATTAAATCAAGATTTACAAAAACACTAAACAAATGCTCAATGTGACCTCCGCCGATTCTTTCGCAAGCCTCAATTTTGTGCATAGATCTTCCAAATATAAAACACTAGGTATTTAGTTGCCTTAACAGCTACAAATTAATTAAAAACAAAACTTCCAAATTTACAACATTATTCACGAAATGAATAATGTCCACCAATCACTTTTCTATAAATACAGTACAAATTCGTTTGAACGATAAATGTCCATAATGACTGCGATACACATTAAAAGCCATTATTCGACAGTTGAATATGTTACTACTATTTAACAGTTTAATTTATAATTTCATTTCAAAGTGATTTTGTTAGCGCATTCAACTATCGCAAATTAGATTACCAATTTATAGGATCCACAGATGGACTCGTCATACTAGAATAAAACTACACTTGATAAATTTACTTAATTTAACCCAATGTTTAAGTTTGAAACTAGAAGCAATAAGCAAATGCGTATAATTAAAATTCTGCGAAAGAGACGGAAGAGCAGAATGTATACTAATTATTTCGGATCCAGTAAGAAGCATAATAAGAAAATATGTCATAACCATATCAAACACTAGAGAACATCAATTTGAATAAAATCATAGCTACCAGAAAGCAATTGAATACATATTTATAAAACGCTGTATCCTATAGATACATATGAGTAGCTCAAACTGACGAAAATTCGATTAAAAACTAAAAAATACAATTATTAACAACATTTTCAGCTGGGTTTAATTATAAAATTCCAATTAAGTATCTAATGATTATTTTATTAGACACAATTTTTTACATTTACATCGAATGAAATTTTTCCAATAGCGACCGACAATTTTAAATGATAAAAGATTCAATATTAAGTAGTAGTAACGTAAACGCTTTTACTCTCCGGAAAGTTTATTATTAATTGTCGGACATTGGATCCTGAAACCGCTCGCCTATTGCGTTCCTTTCTCAAGCCAGTCCTACACAGATCAACATAACGTAAATTATATCTAAAATATTTCCAAACATCAAAGATCCTACCTATCCTATGTTGTTCAACATAAAATCTTACACTTCTTCTTGTAGCTGTTAACATCACGAGAATATTATGCGATTTATAATAGTCGAGGACCTAGACGACGTCCGAGACGGTTTAAATCGCTAATATTCAAAGCTTCATCGTATCATTGACAACGCGTTGCTAAAATAAACTGATTCTGATTCTCTCTCTCTCTCTCTTTCAACTTATATTTTATAAAAAAAAAAATGAAAATTTTATCATTGATCCAACAAACTGTCTTGTAAAATTAACTTAATTAATTAAAAGACTAGGGAAGTTCTGTCTAAATAACTTTGGGTCAACTTTTGCATTTTTTGGCCCTCAAATACCTACGTTTCGTGCTAGTACTGTTGAGAGTATTTCTAACAAGACTCTTAAATTATATCAGGATAATTTAATTGTAAAACTACACATATGCATAAGATTATTTGTATCGTTTTCAATACATGATAATGTACGCAAATCACCCCTAAAAAAAGGCCGAAGGATATTATGTACACAAACTTAATAATAATATAATAATTGATAACGAAATTTTGACGAGGTTATCGCTGATACTGTCTCCGTACTGTCCCTGTAAAACACTGAATACAACACCAAACATTTTATATTCCTAGTTGTTATCAGCTTTTTCTTGAAACAGATAAGCCACTGTGAAAGTACGTAGGTATTGGACTGAACTCTTCTCATAAACAAAATACAGAACACCACACGAAAACAAAGCTATTGTAAAGTCGCAAACAAAACTTACGACAAAGATACGTCATTTGCATCGAAATGTTCAAGAGATTCGTGTATTATAAATTATAAGCTGTTCATCGACGTCATTTTAGCCACAATTCAATGTGACAAAAACTTAGGTTAATACCTTAGTCTTATATGTCAAGTAAATGTTCATATCCACATTATATTTGCCACTTGTGTCTCTGTTTTGACACTTGAATACAGTGGCTAAAGCTTCCAAATTTTGACACATCAAGTGTAGGCGATTAGTGCGAAACTATCTTCGTGAAGGTTATTTTATACAAATTCCTATACAGGTGCTGGTGACAGATTACGCATGTATCATAGATCGTTGACAAAATTTTTTGTCACATTCTAGCAGAACAAATTACCTCGAGGCCTAGGGCTACAACTTACGAATATCTTCCAAAATACAAAGGAGTTTATTTAAACGTTACAACTGATATGCTATTACAGATTTAAATTCTATATGAAAAAAGGAAACGACATCAACAATTTTCAAGATATAAGTCATAGTTAAAAGTTCACAGCTTCTCCATTTTCAAATACAGGTTTGAAATTTTGCAGATTTTTTTTGTCGTTTAGCCGTAACATACGACGTATAAAAAAAATGAACAAGTTATAAATTTGTTTATACAAGGGGTTTTTTATAATTCTTGAAAATTATTTCAAAAATTAAAAAAAAGCACAATCCACTTTTGAAATAAAAAATATATCCAAAGAATTATCCATAACAGCAACAGTGTAATCGTTGGTTACTAATTTCTCAAAATCAGATGTCCTAAAGTGTGTGTAAAGAGCTTATTTTATAAAATACGTTCTTTCCATACTTTATATTATTCATATGACTTTTTTTATTTAATACTTCTTTTATTCTGATTAAATGTAATTCAAAAGTATATAAGGGCGTACTGAATGTAAAAAGACAAGTTCAAGAATCTATTTAAGTCCTACAAACATTTAAACATCAATAGATTTTATATCTCGAGTCCCTTAATAAAACTGAAAAATAATACTCCCATCGACATTATATTACACAGTAAGTTTACATTTATTTTTATGATGACAAATTAAGAACCATCAATATATCATTTGTTTGTATGATATACTTACCATCAGCCGTGAAAGCTGTAGCAGAAGGTGCTGGTGCTGGAGCCAGGGGCCACAGACCTCGCTGATTCGGTCCCCCTGGCCCAGCTGGGCTGCCCAACATAGTTAGTTCGCCCTTGGGCCCTGGGGACTATCTGAAACAAAACAATAGCAGTTTAGTTTTTGGTGACTTAAGAATTAAACGGATGATTTTATCAAAAACTTGTAGAGAAAACATTACAATTTATCTAATATTGACACTTCGAAATTTGAAGCCGGTAGAAAGATACCAAAAGCAAATAAATTTATTGTTACAGTTTTTCGACAAGAACAGTACATATTTAGAATTCACAGTAAATTAAAATTACTTCCGCAAATCATGCGGAATACATTGCCATGTCCAAATCTGGTGTTGGAATGAAAACATCCATTGTCAAAACAAATATAAGCTTATTTCAAAATTTGTATTTGAACAAGAATTAGTAGTGCAAATAAAAAAAACATAAGAGACTTTTATTCCTGTCAGGTGTTCAATGTCATTTAGGAACGTCCATAAATATTTGTTCACTACATATCCAATACGGATAAAAATTTAAAAAAGTCTGGTTGATTTCTTTACAAATGCAAAATACTTGCTTTTTACATACTTCCCGATTGCTAAATAAGGTCCATCTGGCGAATAGCTACTTTCATGTTTTCTCAATGTTTCGTTACCTCAAGAGTATGAAACAATGTTCCTCGTCTATCGTCTACCGTCTATCTGTCGTCTGTATCGATTTATTAGAAGGATTATTTCCGAAACTACCGGACCGATCGTTCATGAAATTTTACATGTATCTATATAGACTTATTGAGAATATCGTGTAAACCGTAAAACCTAAACTAAAATTTCTCTAATATTCCCCAACAATACTACGTATTATTTAAGTTTTATAACATACTCCAATAGTTGTGGTTTATGAATCGGTCTTGATATTCAGATTTTTGAAAAAAAAATTGTAGCACAACATTTTCCAATTTAACTTTGAAACTGTAAGCATGATTAATCAAAATTTATCTGTCTCCCGCCGCGCCAAAAGTGATCTCTAAATTTTGCCGAATAAATCTTTATATATAAAAGGCAATGTACCGACTGACCTATCAACGCCTAGTGTTCCTGTAGAGAGAGTTCCGCAATTGCTTTACTCACTACCTTGGAGTTAATATGGCGGTTCGGCATCAGCTGGAAGAAAGCTAGTTTTGCTTGTTGTTTTGATTGTTGTTTTTTGGGCAAAAACAGGGTGCAAATGTGTGTATAGTGCGTGTATATATATATATATACAGGGTTAGTCACGAGAGAATTACTTCTGATTTTTTTTTTTACGCAACCCAAAATACGAATACCATGTATCACTTGATACTAACTGAATTTAAAATGAAATGCTTAATCCATGATTGCTTTGAGTTTGGCAATCTCATTTTGACAATTGTGGAAAAGGAGGTTACGCGAGTGTCCATGGAGGTACCGCAGCCAGTCGGAAATCCCCTCCGGCGCCGCTAATAAATTTGTCAGTGTGCCTCTTGATCTTTTGCAACCGATTAATCACGAGAAAATTATTTCTAAAAATTCCTTTTACGGCATTTTATTCAAAGGTCACAACACAAACTCAAACAAGTAAGTAAGTAAATAATTTAACTACTAATCTGTTGAAAATGTTGGGCATTTTGGGGGGATGCTACGGCTTTTTTGTAAATGAATGGCCGAAGAAGTCCAGAGGTTGCAGATTTGCACTTCGAAGAGGCTCTAGGTGACGCAGAGATGGCGAATTAACACATGCACATTAGCGGCGAACAACATTGCTAGAGCACTTACGGCTTCAGTATAGCCCAGATTGATCTGACTGTATGTCGTCGATCCAATGGGGCTCTAGAGGCGAGTCAACGATGAAAAAAAATGTTAAAAATTAATTAACGTCAAAGTGACACTGCCAAAGTCAAAGCAATCATGGATTGGGCATTTAATTTTAAATTTAGATAATATCAAGTGATACAGGGTATTAGTATTTTGGGTTGCGTAAAAATAATTTTCAGAAGTAATTCTCTCGTGACTAACCCTGTATATATATATATATATATAATATTATTTACTGGGAAAACATGGGAATAAGTTTAAGATAAAAAAAATTGTTACCAATAGTGCTAATATTACAGGTAGTAAGAGTATTGCGATGCGAATTTTGGCAAACAAAATGCAATAAGACATTTCAGTGTTTCTGCGTTTCATTGACCTTTCGTTCGTATACCTAAATTCTTGTTATATCATTAAAATCCAAATTAAAATAGTATTATAACCTGAATGATGTGAATAAAATTCGGAAATAATACTTTCGTTTCAATTCAAAAATTGCCCTTCGTTTTACATATATTCTAAAAATTTATTGTACAAGAATTTATTATTCATACCACCCATCAACTTGGCCCGTTTAAAGTTGGCGCGTGGTGTTGGAGTTAAAATGGCGGAGGTTTGCGGAACTCTCTCTCTACAGGGACACTATCAACGCCCAGCCCAAACTGCTAACGATAGAAAGTTGAAATTTGGCGAGAATGTTCATTTTATACTGGAGGAGGCATAGTTTAAGAAGCGATTTCTCGAAATTCATCCCCTAAGGGGATTAAAATGGGGTGATAAAATTTGTTTAGGACCAATATATCTACTGTAAATTTAGATCGTTACGTGAAACCTGGTACATTTTAATTCTCTTCAATACAAATACGTATTTAAGCATTTTCGGAGATTCGACCCTTAAGGGGATGAAAAGTGGTGTCTAAGTTTGGGCGGCCGAGTTTGTATAGGAACAATGTTTCTACTATAAATTGAAATTTTTATGTGAAACTTGGTATTAATGTTCTTCAACACAAGTAATGAAACCCGTCTTTAAGCATTTTCTAAAATTCAACCCCTAAGGGGATGAAAAGTGGTGGCTAAGTTTGTATGCGAAAAATATTTCTATTGTAAATTTTGAGGTGATGTTTATTTAAAACTTAGTATTAATGTTCTTAAACACAAATAACGAAACACGTATTTAAGCATTTTCGGAGATTCGATCCCAAAGGGGGTGAAAAGTGGTGTCTAAGTTTGGACGGCTAAGTTTGTATAGGAACAATATTTCTACTATCAATTGAAATTTGTACGTGAAACTTGGTGTTAATGTTCTTCAACACAAATAATGAAACCCGTCTTTAAGCATTTTCTAAAATTCAACCCCTAAGGATGTGAAATGTGGAGGCTAAGTTTGTATGGGAAAATATTTCTATTGTACGAGTATATTTAAATTTTTACGTGAAACTTGGTACTAATGCTCTTCAACACAAGTAATGACACACGTATTTGAACATTTTCCGAGATTTAACCCCTAAGGGGGTGAAAAGTGGTGGCTAACTTTATGTTGGAAAATTATTTCTATTGTAAATTTTTGACATGGAATTTAGTATTAATGCATAGTGAAACACGTATTTAAGCATTTTCCGAGATTCAATCCCTAAGGGGGTGAAAAATACTGGTTAAGTTTGTATGGGAAAAGTATTTCTATTGTAAATTTAAATTTTTGCATGAAACTTGATATTAAATTAAAGCTCTTCAATACAAAGAATGAAACCCGTATTTAAGCATATTCCAAGATTCAACCCCTAAGGAAGTGAAATGTGAAGGTTAAGTTTGTATGGGAAAAATATTTCTATTGTAAATTTAAATTTTTACGTGAAACTTGGTATCAATGCTCTTAAATACAAATAATGAAGCATGTATTTAAGCATTTTCCGAGATTCAACCTCTAAGGAGGTGAAAAGTGGTGGCGAAGTTAGTATGGGAAAATATTTCTACTGTAAATTTAAATTTTTACGGGGAACTTGGTATTAATAGTCTTCAACACAAATAATGATAGATATATTTCAGATTTTTTCAAAAGATGAAAGGAGATGAGGAAAAATATTTTTATGGCGATTTTTATTTGAAATTTTGTATTGATGCTTTATTCACGTGACAATATTTTCGATATTGAACACATTTTTTACTTGAAACTTAGCAATAATGCTCAACACAACGAATCGTCTACGCGAACGAAGCCGCGGGCGAAAAGCTAGTCTTATATAAAATGTTAAAAATGTTATGAATCTATACTTGTGGTTTATCAATATATGTATATTCATATTGTTTAGAATTGTTGTTTATACAAGGTGAGTCGAAAAAAATGACTGAGGCAATTTATATAATTGATGAAATCAAGAGTAGCTCATCATTTTCCCGAAAGATTGAAAATACAGTCATATTATTATTACTTAGTATCAGGGTTGGCCGGATTTACATCATTTGATTTAAATCTAGATCCACTATTTGACCCCAAGAAAAGCTATACCTTCTGTCTTTCTAAGATTTTCGGTTCCAAAACGTGCGTAACTTAACAGGAAACATATCTCTGTTCCTCTCATTCTGTAGCTCTGTCACATCTTCATTTTGCCCGCGAATTGGCTATTTCTGTAGCACTGGTCGTACACGCTCTAGATTGGATGTCTTGAAAGGATAGAAGATATAGCTTTCTTTGGGTTCAAATCCTCTTACTGTGTCTTGTTGGAATTTATCATTCTACCTCCTCGAACTCTATGAGTTGTATTGAGCCTTTCCCTGTAAGTTCGTAAAACTTCCATAGTGACTTTCCGTGCGCACGCATCTTCAAAACCACGTTGGAAATAGTATCCGGCACTCCGGCAGCAGAGCAAAGGCCTGTGACAACAAACCGATTTGACAGAATGCAACCGGCTACACATGCGTAATCGGTCGCTCATTGGTTAATTTTAACTTGGCGCTCTAAAAATCTGACTTCGCCTGCGCGATGTTGTCTCACTCTGTATCATTGGAATTTATATAATATCTACTCACTTTGCTTACAGGAAAAGGGTCAATTGTTTACACCTAATAATCATAAGTGCGACTATACTCAAATTTTTCTTGTTCTAAACGACGACCCCTTGACTGCATCGCCACCGCGGAAAAAATATTTTTATTCACATCAAACAAAATGGCTTGAACAACAGAAGTGATGTGGGCAATCGAATCTCTACAATTTTATATGCAAAATAGGTGGTGTCTACAATAAAACATGATGGAGAAAAAGCTGTCAAT